ATCTAGAGAAGCATCTATTTCATTTAAAATTTTCAATTTTTTAGAGGACAGTTCGTTGATGTAAGACCTAGTAATTCTTTGAACCTTTGAAATGTCTCTCTTTTCACTTCTGACTTTGTTAATTTGAGTACTCTCTTTGCCTGTCAATTAGTTTGGCTAAGGGTTTGTTTATATTGTTGATTTTCTCAAAGAAACAGCTCTTCGTTTTGATGATTCTTTGTATTATTCTCCTTGTTTGTAGTTGATTGATTTCAGCTCTGAGTTTGACAATTTCCTGGCTTCTACAGGTGTGTTTGCTGATTCTTCATTTTTTTCTAGAGCTGTCAGATGTACTTCCAGTTCATCATTATGAGAACTCTCCAGTTTCTTCATGAGGGAACTCTATGCTACAAATTTTCTTTTGAGCACTACTTTCATTGTGTCCCATAAATTTGAGTATGTTGTGCCCTCATTTTCTTTGAATTCTAGAAAGTCTTTATTTACTTTCTTTATTTCTTCATTGATCAAATAATTGAGTTAAGAGTTGTTCAATTTCCATTAATATGTAGGCTTTCTGTTGTTTCTGTTGTTGAAGTCCAACTTTAATTCATGGTGATCTGATAAGATGCATGGGGTTGCATCATTCTTCTTGCATCTCTACTTACTTGCTTTGTGACTGACTTTATGGTCAATTTTGGAGAACATTCTTTGAGGTGCCAATGAGAAGATATATTCCTTTGTGTTTGTATGAAACGTTCTATAGAAATCGGTTAGAACCATTTGAATCATAGCCTCTGCTAGTTTTGTTATTTCTTTCTTTATTTTGTTTAGATGACCAGCCATTCTTGAGAGTGGAGTATTGAGGTCTCCCACTATGATTCACTGTGTGATTTAAGCTTTACTAATATTTCTTCCATGAATGTGGGTACCCTTGGATTTGGACCATGTTGAGGGAGATATTTTAAATCAGCATCTGGTAAGCCGACTATCTATGCTGCAGCAGCTTTGCCTAGCTCAGCCACCATATTTCTTGGCTGGAGGCCATGTGCAGGGAGCAACTAGAACCAGCCAGCCAGAAATGCCAGCCCTGCCTCCCATGAGATGCCAGCGTGGGAGATGACTGTGCCAATCTTCCATACTGTCTCTGCAAGGCTGAGCATTGCCCAGACCATCCGCCATCCATGTGGGCCCAGTAATAAAATGAGACTCTAATGCTTAAAGATTAATCAAAGGCTTTATATGTTTAGTAATGCTCAATAACAATATACCCATATGAAGAGAGTTGTTTCCCAATTAGCTAACCTAAATAAAAGATTACTCACGACTGCTCCCCATACCTCCATACCTTGCTCCTATATCTCTGCTCTTCCTAGCTCCTCCTCTTCCTTTTCCTCTTTCTCTCCTTACTCCTCCCACCTTAGCTCCTCCTACAGGACAATAAATTTTCAAAATTATCATGCCCTCTTACTGGATTTTTTTTCCTTGGATGGGTATAAAGTGTCCTTCTACATTACTTTTTATTAATTTTGGTTAAATGTCTATTTTATTAGATATTACAATGGCTATTCTAATGTCCTTCTTTGGTCTGTTTGCTTGGAAAACCTTTTTACAGCCTTTTATACTGAGATTATGACTATGTTTATGGCTGAAATGTGTCTATTTGTATATAGCAAATTGATGGAGTCTGTTTATGCATCCACTCTGTTAGCCTGTGTCTTTTTACTGGGGAACTGAGTCCACTGCTGTTGAGAGTTATCAATTATCAATGATTATTAGTTCCTGTTATTTTGATGTTAGTGGTGGTTGAATGTGTATTTTTCACTTCTATTGGTTTTAATAATGGGAAATTATTTATTTCTTGCATTTTTATGAGTGTAGTTTACTTCATTGGGTTGGAGTTTTCCTTTCAGAATCCACTGTAGGGCTGGGTCAGTGGAAAGGTAATGTTTCAATTTGGATTTGTCATGCAATATTTTAGTTTCGTCATTTATGATGATTGAATGTTTTGCTTGGCTACATATAGTAGTCTGAACTGACATGTGTGGGCTCTTAAGGTTCTGCACAATGAGGCCCTGCTGGCTTTTAGAGTCTCAGATGAGAAAACAGGTATAATTGTGATAGGTTTGTTCTTGGCCTTTTTCCTTTCTGCTTTTAAAATTCTTTCCATCTTCTCTACATTTAGTGTTTTGATTATTATGTGGTGGGAGACTTTTGTTTTCTGGTCCAATCTGTTTGGTGTTTTGTAAGTTTCTAGTACCTGTATAGACATCTCTTTCTTTAGGTTAGGGATATTTTCTTTTATGATTTTGTTGAAGACATTTTCTAGCCTTTGAGCTGGGAATCTTCTCTCCTTCTATTCCAATTATTCTTAGGTATGGTCTTTTCCATGATGTCCAGAATTTCCTACATGTTTTATGTCATAAACATTTTATATTTTGCATTTTCTTTGAATGATGTATTAATGTCTTCTATTGTATTTTCTACACCAGAGATTCTCTCTTCCTCGTGTATTCTCTTGGTGGTTTCTAAATTTCATAGATTTTTCTTTCTTCAGAATTGCCTGAGTTTATGTATTTTTTATTGCTTCTATTTCCCTTTTCAAGTTTTTGACAGTTTTATTCATGTCCTTCATCTCTTTGATTGTATTTTCCTATATTTTTCTATTTATTTTATTCCTCTTTTAATGCCTTTACTTGTTTCAATTTAATTTCCTGTATTTCCTTAAGAGGTTTATTCTTGTCCTCTTTAAATGACTTTATTATTTTTATAAGATTGTATTTAAGATCCTCTTTTCCTACTTCAGTTTCATTAGGATATCCGGGGTTTTTTGTTGCAGGATTGCTGGGCTCTAGTGATGCCATATTGCCCTGTGTCTTGCTGATTGTGTTTTTAAGCTGTTCTTTAAGTACCTGGGTTTTCTTGGTGTAGGCAGGATGATCCTGGTGGCAGCAGGACTTCTCTGGAAGGTGGTGGAAGCCATTGGTCATACAACAGAGGTCAGGGTACCTGACCCTGATGGCTGTGCCTCAGCTAGACCCCACTCTGCCCACTGTGTCCCAGTCAGACCCAACTGAGATAGTGGATAGATGTGGCTGGGATGGTATTGGTGAAGCATGTTTAAAAACTGATTAGTCTTGGGGCCCCTTAAGTCTTAGAGGGAAAGCAGGACATTCTTGGTGTCCTTCAAGGTTCCTCAAGACATTAAAAGTGAACCCAGAGCTAGAAAATGGGACTCAGATGGCCTCATGCAATTCACCTCTTCAGGCTGTGTCCCAGGCAGACCAACTGGGATGGCTGGTTGATTCAGCTGGGATGGAATTGATTGATCCGGCAGAGTTCAAAGCTAGTTAGTTATGGGTCCTCTGAAGGTTTCCACAGGAAGTGAGGCTGCTCTTGAGGACAAAGAAGGCTCCTCTGGGCAGAAGAGTAAGCCCGGAGTTAGACAATGAGGCTTAGAAGATCACTGGCAACTCATCTTTGCCTAAACATACCTCTTAATAAACAAAAGTTTAAACCTCATGTTTCTAATTAATTTTCTTGAGATTACCTGAAATACAGCTTTGTGGGATTTGGACAGATAAACAATGGTGATCCTATGATTATGTTGTTTTCATATGTGAGATCAGTTCCTTCCAAGAGCCTACATACCAGAAATTTTACCTTGAGTGGTGCATTTCAAATCTGCCTTAAATAATGTCTGCTGGGTGTTATGGAGTCTTTTTTCAATGTCCCAGAGACTCAATAGTGTACAAAATTTTTAAAATGGGAAAATAATGTTGGCTTTGTGAAATTAACTAATTTTTAGATTCATTTGTCCTTTCCCTTGTCCCAGAGTTCATCATTCACCATCCCACTCTGTCCATACTCTTTTACGTGAGTTATATTATTCAGTAGATTCACTGTTAAAGACCCACAAAAACATGGACCATCTTATGGAAGATTCAGAAAAAAAAATGTTACTACATCTTATTGATGATTAAGTCCTCTAACCCGTTTTGTGCTGGTATAACAGAACAGCTCAGTAAGAGTCACTTATAATGAATGTTGTTGGCTGGCATCTTTGGAGGATGAGAGGTCTGATGACAGTACGTAGCAAGGCTAATACTATGAGTCATTATGTGACCAAAGAAAAGAGGATGAGAAACTGTACTTCTAAAATACTTGATCCAATGACAGTGATGCTTTTAAAGATATAGCCTTTTAGTTTGAGCACATGGCAATTAAATTTCAATTATATTTTTGGTATGAAAAATGTTCAAACAAGTTATGTATATGTCGTATACTAAATATGAAGACCAAGCCCTTCCATCTGAAACCCAGTGGCTATGTATTAATGTGAACATGGAGAGACATGTCTCTGCTGTCAAGATTTATACTTTTCCATGCCCTCATCTCCTTTAGTATTATCGAAACAGCTTTAGAAAGTGCTTCACCAGGGAAAACTAGTAAGTTAGTTATTGAAGTTCCTATCCACCTCAAAATTTTACATCTGAGACTATTATCTTTTATTTCCTATAAGATAAGTGAGTACATATGTATGTAGCACATTTCCCACTTGCTCACACATAAGTTGTAGTAAGAAATTCAAGATTTTGATAGGCACATTTGTTACAAAATATCTATGAAGCTGAGGATGGGAGAATAAATGAAGTCCTGTAAGAGTCTCCCTTCTCAGAGACTAAACACTCACATGTTGTAAGGCTTTGCCCAAATGCACAAAGCAATTGAAAGGATGGGTAGCTGGATTTTTAACTCAAAGAAATCTTGAGAGTTTTGGTTATTGTATTTACTAGTGCTGTGAGCTTGAACCCTTTCATCCTTCATTTCTCCATCAATTAAAGGAAATCATATCATGTCTGAGGGTTATAAGAAGTAACTTCAAAGACACACACAGAAAAATAGTTCCCAACGTTTTCCAGATCATATGGTTAAGAAAAGAGTGTGCATATATTATAAGTTCACTCTTTTTAAAAGATTCTTGCCCATTGATGTGACCTCTTCTGCTCTTACTATCTTTTCAGACAACTGTGATGATCCATTGGCCAACTTCCTCTCACCATTGGCTTTCTCCAGTTCCTCAGATCTCACTGGAAGTTCTAGCTCAGCTCAGTTGAACTGGAGAATGGGTAAGTATAGTGATTAAGGTTGAAATCTGAGTGTTAAATGAGGACATTGTAAGTTCTAAGGAAAAAGTAAGTTCTCTGTCTACATAGGGGTCACATCCAAAGTAACAGTCCTGAAAGAAATCTTGGGGGTTAAGTCTAGAGCCAAAATACTTCCCAGCATGTAATAGATAGTCAACATGTTCCATCAACCCAAGGATCCACTAAGGAATTCTTGGTGTTGTTTTGTTGTTGTTGTTGTTTGTTGTTGTTTGAAGTACTGACTCTAGAACTCATGGCTTCATGCATATTACGGAATGTGCTCACTCACCTGAGCACATAGCTATCCTATGAAATTTCTGGTGTAGCTTTGTATTTGTGCATGAACTTGTTTATATATAGACATATGAGTGGATGTACATGCTTACATGTAGGCAGTTATATGTTGTGGGAGGGGCAGAGGACAACCTTTAATAATATTTCTTAGGTGTCATACACTCTTACAAGGAAGGATGTCTCTGTAGTCTCGAGCTTGAAGTTAGGCTTCCATGACTCCAGTTTCTGTCTCACAGAGGTGGGATTACAAGCATCCACCACTATGCCTTTTTTTGTTGTTTTTGTTTGATTTAATTTAATTTTTTTTTTACTTATTCACTTTACATCCTACTTACTAACCCCCTCCTGGTTAACCTCTCCCACAATTATATTATTATAATTAATATAATATAATATAATATAATATAATATAATATAATATAATATA